TCCCTCTCTCTCTCTCTCTCTCTCTCTGGTTCTCTTGTCTTCTACTTCCGCCATGGTCTCTTTGCCTCATGCATCCTTTTGGGCCAGGGGATTTCTGCTGCTGCTCCTCTCATGACGCGGTGAGAGTGCTTTTCCTTGCTGGATTTGTGAACCCCTTGTTTTGTTACGCTGGTTTTCGTGTTTAGCTTGGGTTTGGTAAAACTTAAAAGATCCTTCTTTGGTTGTCTTTGATTTGGTATTTTGGAGCTTTCAGCTGCTTTGTGATGAGCTCTATTTGGAAAGATTGCATTTTGAGAGCTGTCAATGTTAAGTTTTGGTGTTTCGATCTCGCCAATGGCAATACACCAAAACAGAGACCTCCATCCTTTTTGTTTCCCTTTGAACTTGGTTAATTTTGCGTGCCTAGGGTTCTTGTTTTGCACATTTGAAGGAGGTTTCCAACCCCTTCTTTGTTAATTTTGGGGATATTGGTCAAGCCGTGTGGTGCATCAATTTTTTGAAGGGTTTGCTTTTGTGCTTGCCTATTAGCTTCCTTTTTCTTGAACTTGATGGAACCCAGAAACAAGGATTTTGTGTGGCAGGTTTTATAAAGGTGAAGTATGACCATTACAGCTGATACGCAGTTGGGCATTCAATATCTTTGATCTCGAACTTCCTAGGAAAGGAAGAGCTAGGTTTGGGACCTTGAATTCTGATTAATCAGGTTTTGGTTGTGACCACAATGCAAACAACTATATGCTTCACGAACCATGGAGGAGTTGGCCAGTTTTCGGTTCCTCAGCCACCCCAGGCTACGCCACTTCCTTGGTGGATCGGATCCCAATCGCTCTTCGAGGGCCACTCCAACGGTGAGGACCAGCTACCAGCTGCATCCCGACAACTGCATCATGCAGTAGTCCCAAGGGTTGGACCAGGGCCAGCAGTCACAGAGGAAAAAGGTACTGTTACTACAAGTTCTCAGTGATTTTTTTTTTTGTTACTTCTAGCTAAGCTTCTGCTGTACCATGCCTGGTATTAGGCCCTTTCCCCTCTACTAGACATCTTGTTGTTAAACAATATTTTTTTATATGTTCTATGTTCATGAAATAAAACAAGTCACATCTTTGTTACTCGGATGCATGATCATTTATTGAGTAGCATCTCTAGATGTCATGTTTTTTATTTGGTATTGTGATTCTGCTGATGAATAGAAAGGATAGAGTGGAGCAGGAAATGAATTGTTTAGATTCATATTTAAAGTAAGACAGGCATTTGCCATTAAGTTTACATGAAAGCGGAGCATGGAAAAGATTATTTCCTTTTTATTACCATGATTAAGGTACACTTATTGCATGATTTGACAAAGCCAGTTTTCTTACTACTATATCTTCTGGATTCCATATTAAGGATGATGTGGATCTTGTCACTGAATTGATTAAGTTCTTCAAATCTTTCTGTATCTTTTTAATCTTTGTTATCCTGGTCCTGTACTGTGGTGATCCTAGTCAGTGTATACGTATTGATTCCGTGCATGAATGCTATTGCCTTTCCATATTGCAAGTATGCTTTTATATCATATTATGCATTCAGAATCTTCCAGAACTTGTATGGAGCTCAATGGTGTGATAGTACAAATTTCAATTAAACAACTTTCTCGATATTCTTATAAAGGAGTTGCATAGGTTGGATAACCTGTTCCATGAGTTAGTTTGCTTTTTCTTGCTAAAAAATTATAGAATCAAGAGAAATGTTGTCATTAATATGAAAATTTCCTATTTCAAACATTGCCGTCGGAGAAGTTCTTTTAATCATGTCCTTCTTGTTAGTCCAAAGTGTTCCAAAACTTTGTTATTGATTATGAAGCTAAATCTAACAATGTGAGTTGGCTTTTGGTGACTAATCTTGAAAATTGATCTTCTATGAGTGTTCCTTTGATTTTCAAGTTAAGCTTAGGTATAGTAAACAACTCTAGGGATGATAATGAGCCTTGATACCCTTTTTTCTGCATGTTTTCACTCGCCTCTCACTTGCTTTCTCATCTTTTCTCTCCTCCCACTTTCTCCTGCACTTTCTCCTATTGTTCTGGGTGTTCTTTCTTTTACCTCCTTAACATTTTAAAAATGTTTTCTCCAAGACATTTCTGCATCTGAACCAAAGGCAACTGTTACAGAAACTTTATAACCTTCCCTAGTTGCCAAATGGTCTCATCATCATGAACATCGCTTGAGTTTGAAGCTACACCATCATCGTTTAATCACTCATCCAATCTAATGGGTATCTCCAAACTTGAATTTGAACGAATCAGGGTGCCCTAAACCTAACATGAAGTGATGAAAATTGTAAAACCCACCTTGACCAAGTGCATGATATATTAGATATTATGCAGGTTAAGTAGCTTAAGATTTGAATTTCTGTCCATAGGATCTGGGTAACAGCACTACTTCTATGGCTTCACATAGGCTGAGTAACAATTTCTTGAAGTGAAAAATTAACAGTAAACAATGAAAAATGAAGACATTAGCATGCACAGTAGGCAGTCACTAATATCAGAAAGGTAAAAGACATAAGCATAATGATGTCATGAAGAAAATGTTGAAGCTAAGTAGCTTGTAGCTATTTCTAGTCACTGCAGTAGAAACTTGAAATGTAGATTTCTTTGTTTGTATTATGCATTTCTCAAGAAGATGAACTTATACTATAACTTTCTTACTAATTGTAATCTCCTTCTGAGCTCTTTTTTCTGTTCTACTAATGGCTCTTTGAAAATACAAATTTTGACCTTAATTTTTTCTTTCAGACCACAATGTCTCAATAAAAGAACAAAAATCTCAACAACAGTCTGCAGTCATCTCTCTTATGCCATCATTTCCTGAACATTCAGGTCATGTTGAACTTGAACTTGGTCATTCCATGGTAGGTCTTTGCCTTTCCCATTATGTGTGCACTTGATTATAAATAATTTTGGACTTCATTTGCAAGTGCTACTCTGCATAGTGGGCCTTGCTTTGTAATATTTGTAAATATCATTGCAGGTTTATCCTAATTACTCCTATGGTGACCAATGCTATGGCCTATATGCAACTTATGGACCTCAATCAATGGTTTGTAAATTTTAGTTCGTTATTCAGTATTTTCTTGTATAGCTAGTGTTCTATTATAGTCATATTGTAAATGATCTGAGTATACTCGTGATATTGTCATATTGAACAGCACAGGTAAGGATTGTCACATGGTCATAACTCATGTTGGGCTTAGATAAATTCTAGTTATGATCGTTTCTCAGTTATTATTATGTTCCCATTTAAAAAAGCATTTATCAGGAAATTTCATTTGTTTATTATCCTTAACCTTCATCCCCTTTTGCATTTTTATTATTGGATGGGGATCGGAACCAAGGATTCAAGATCCCTCGAGGTGCCTAACACAAGTATGCATGGGAACACTGAAATAGAACATAAAGCAGTATAACAGAGTTCCAAAAAGTTATATATTATGTTATGAGAAATCCCAGAGATCATGATTTAATGAAAATAATGGAGATGTAGTAACCATTAATTTCTAATACATGATACCTTTCTTCAACTATCCACTGAATGAAGAGATGCTACGGCATAAAGGAAATCAGGAGCCTTAGAACTGCAATCTTTTTCTTTTTGATTTTAAACCAGATGCTAAATGACTCAAGGTCCATGATAGCACTTAGTGGGTTGCTTGATTTATTGACATCAGTGAGGCTTCATCCATCCATCTATTCTTGTCTTCAATGATCAATCATAGAGGTTGAGTTTTCAAGGGAATAAGATGGAGAGGTTGTGATACCTTTTCTATTTTTTTTATTTTCCCATAATATCAAGGCACCTGCAAGATATGGTTAGCGGGATTGGCTAATGCCAATCACTGCTGATCCCAGTCAAGATGTTAATTCTAATTCTAAATTGTAGGATCAATTGCAAATTTCATGATTCAGATCTATGTGCCTACACATTTCTTGGCCAAAAGTAATATACAGGGTCAAACTTGATGACTTTTAACTACAAAGGTAATTAATAATTTGCAAATTTTAATTGACCCAGCAGGTTAAATTCTGTGTTTCTCTTTCAAAAGGTACATCTCAGTGATGTTAAAACTTTTGATACTATGAAAAAATCTAAGAAGGTGAAAAGGACAAACTAAAAGATGAATAATGAGAGACTAGCGAAACCCATCGCGTTAAAATGCTGCTGCGATTGATCAAACTCCAGTGAGAAATGCAATAGAGTAGAAATTCTCATAAGCTTTAGTTTTTTGCTTAAAGTATCCTTAAGATGTGTGCAGAATATATTATCGTAGCTTTTGGGGTATCAATGCATGCCTTTGAAATTCAAAATGTTTGTTGCAGTGGTGGGTATGGAGAGAGTATCTTTTATAGGGAAAAAACATCGAATCTCTTTCATGAAGATAAATTTTTTTATTGCAATCATGATTAATAATATGCATTTATTTCATGCCTGATAAAGGGAATGTCAACTTTCAGCTTAAAATATATCTACATTAATGTTCCATCCAATAATTAACAAAATTTCACAAGTGCAAATCCCTAGCTTGTGACATATTTGTGCAAGAGAGATGCTTGTCCTAAAATTAAAAATTCTTTTCTATGAAACATGGATATAGATTTAGGACATAGGCAAAACGAAGGGCACCAATGTGGAAGATACAGGACATAGGATGTGGCAATCTGTGCAAGAGAGATGCTTGCCCTGGAATCGTTGAAATTTAGCTTTCACATTTGGCAGGTCCAAAAAATTTATAAAGCTGAGAGCACTCATGTAAAGAATAGATAATGAAGAGGATGGATGATAGACGTTAGAAGAGAAGAAACTTTATTCACTATTTCTACATTGGTATATCTCTTGTTTTGCTCCTGCAGGCTACATTCTGATATATACAAAAGGTATCAGGTTGCACTAATTCTAAACGTAGTGAGATTCAAGCCAATGACAACAGTCCAAACCGACTCAAACTACCGTGTGCAATCTATTAGAAAAGACTGCACTAATCTATCCTATAAAACTTAAATTCTAACCAGAGACTAATTTAATATTTAAATATTCTCCCTTATGATATTTTGAAAAAAAATAATGTGAAAAACTAAAAGATCTAAATCTCATTTCTTTTGTTGCTGTTATGACATGCAATAATTTGCTTAATTTTGAACCGTACCATCTGAAGTAAAAATTTATGTATATGATCTATCTTGCATGTCTCAATCAATTGCAAACTCTTGATTCGTCTCAATCCAAACTCATCATAAGAAATTCACCAGGTTATTCATTATGTTTTATAAATTGCATGTCTTCAATAGTTGCACTTGTTATATCATTATGAGCACTACCTTTGTCTAAATCTTAAACATTCAATAGCTTATCTCACTTTGTAGTGTTTGCTTATAAGGAGGTTAAAAAACTTATAAGCTTCTAGTAAAAATAAACTTGTATGGTCCAATAAAATCTATTTTGCCAACTACGTGATTTTTAATTCTGTTTTCTTTCAAATAGGCTTCTTTGTTCAATAGAGCTTCTTCAATTGTGATCCCATTGCAATACAAATCTTGTTTGTTGATCACTTTGCTTTGGTATATGCTTCTTCGTATCGATCTTTGTTTTCTCTCATTCTTGATTTTGCTATTGATCATGCTCATCTTCTAGTTCATCTAGTGGTGTACGAGTTAATATGCCTCTTTCATAAATATCTTTTAAGATTATTTAGGCTTCTTTTGCAGTCTTCAATTTGAAGGTCCATGAAAGAATATATACATCTATCATTGCTTGATACATGTCTAATCATTTTTTCTAAAAAATAAAGGACATGTATAATTTTACCTTCACTTTTCTTTTTTTGGATAAAAAATAATCTATAGTTTCTGTTGTTGAATGTCTATAGGTCTATTTTTGTCTTTATTGGTATCTCCCTTTCTTAGGTAGTCTTCAAGTCCAAGTCTTCTTTACAGTAGTCAAAATAAATTTATATGCTCTTCACTTGTCACGAAAATCAAAATCATACACTTGTTCTGATACTATGTTCAATTGTAGTTTTGAGATGTGAAAGATCCAAATAGTTCATAAAAAGAGAGAGCACTGACATAGAGAAGTAATAGACTGGAGAGATGATGAAATAGAATAGAAGAGTACACAAGCTTTGTTCACAATTTGTGCACCATTATGTCTCCTATTAAGCTCATGTGGGCTACATTCCAATATATATAGAAAATATCAGCTTGCACTAAGTCTAAACATATATTCAAGCCGATGCCAAAACAGTCTAAACCTACTCGAACTTTTGTGTGCTACCTATAAAATAAGTTTGCTTAATCTTTTCTATAGCACTCAAATGGTAATCTTGTTTGCCTTTTCCAATCCATATGTGATACTTTTAGAGTTTTAATAATTTATTTCACAAAGTGAAGTTTTTTAATGATCTTTTGGAATTTGCTTAAATTGAACTTTTCAGGAAAAATATTTAACACTAAACAGGAAAAATAAATGTGTTGCAGTTTTCCTTTGATTTCAATAACACTTTCAGGACTGTTTATAGTTGAATTTGGAGAGGACTCGCTGTTGTTTGATACTCTCATTTATCCAACTGACAGTTAATATTCCTCAATCTTGGTCATGTTAGACATCCGTGGAATATGTTAAGAAGCTGTTATGGATTGGTTTCTGCTGAATGTATGAATACAATATGAATTTTATATCTTTCCTTTGCAGCATGGGAGAATGCTCTTGCCAATGAATATGACAGCTGATGGACCAATTTATGTGAATGCAAAGCAGTTCCATGGTATCCTTCGTCGAAGACAGGCTCGTGCCAAGGCTGAAAGACAAAACAAGTTGAGCAAAGTTAGGAAGGTATATGTCATGCAATATGGATGCTCAATGCTCAGGAAATATTTCTATTTGCTAAACCATGTTTTTCACTGTATTTGCACCATAATATATGGTTCTTTAGGGATGGATTGCTCAACTTGTTGTACCTCTCTTTGCTTCTTTACCTCAGTTTTCTTTTGGTCTACTTTAATATACAAATCTAATCATTAGTAAGTTGTCCAAGATGAATTCAGTACCGTATTCCTCTTGTAAAATTCTACAATTGTCATGCTTGGATGGCTAGTTAACTTAGGCTGAGAAAATCATTATACCTGGCTTAAGATATGTCTGCTTTTCTATTCTTAAATCCAATCGTGTATATCAGTATATGGAGCCAAGTCAAACTAAACTGGGTTTCCATTTTCCATTTTTTCAGCCCTATCTACATGAGTCACGTCATCTTCATGCAATGAGACGAGCAAGGGGCAGTGGTGGTCGATTTCTGAACACAAAGAAGGAAAGCAGTGGACAAGTAATGAATTATGGCAGTAAAGTGAAAGATTCAGCACCTCATCATCCTACCGAATCTCCAAGCTCTGATATAATGAAATCTGATAGCGGAAATCTGAATTCATCTAGCGGTGGGTCAAGCGTTTCAGGATCAGAGGCGACAAGCGTGTGCACGCACAAAAATCACAATAACTTCCATGTCATTGAGCATCTTCGCTCGTCTTTCTTTCGCCCTCTCTCAAGTATGATTGATGGAGAGCAAGGAGCGGCCGGTATGTCTAATCAGTGGGTCTCAGCAGCTGATGGCTGCTGTGACCTTCTCAAGGTCTGAGGAAAGAGATACCGAGGAGGGGTGGATGCAAGTTGTGTTCATTTGACTTTACACCCCTCCAAAACTTCACACAGCCAGATGGAAAAGCTGATCACTGCCCATTTGGTTGTTCTCTGAAGGCAAATCATTCTTGGCTTATCTGCATGGCTATCAGTGTCCTTGTTCCACAGTTCCTGGACTGCACCAGTTTCAGGACTGTTAGGATGACTGAAGCTTCATGCACTATGGAAACCATGACAGGGCTCTGTTCCTGTTAGTAGGGCTGCTACATCAGAATAAGGATTTGACTGTTGATTAAGTCCATAGTTTGAGGTATGTTGTTGAAGATAGTATTCATGTATGATGTGTTGCTTGACTGGTGTTTGCAAACTTTTGATGGTTGCCATTGTTAAGATTGTCAGTTGTGGTGTGATCTATTTGCAACTTTATATGTATATTTGTTTCATGTTTCTGTTTTTGCTTTGCATCAGCTTCATCTCCTGTTTTATGAATGTAATCTCACACTGAAGTGATATTATTTATCCTTTTTTTTTTCTATAAACAAAGATGGCTAGATTGCTAAATAAATCATAGTTCAATTGGAATGTTGCATTCATACAATTTGTTTCTAGAATCCAACTCTTTACATTGTCAGGTCTGATATTATAGACCTAATTATATCTGCTGAAGAATTCATATTTAGGTCTGATCATCGAGGAAGAGTTTATACAGAAATATATGGGTGAAAATCTATATAATATATAATTATGCTGCTGTTAAAAGAATATATTTTGTTAGGCATTTTACATTTCAATTATGTGATGAGGTTATAAATTAAAGTACTTCTGCAGGTAAAGCATTCACCCTCTGTCTCTATAAGAGCATTTGTGTTGTTGTATCTAAGTAGTAAAAAACATTTAATATTTTTCACATACTCTTAGTTTTTCTTGATTTAGAGTTCTTTTTGGTATAGTAATCTCTTTAAAAGGAATTTACTTGTACTGATTATTAGTAAATTTGCTACTCATATTTGCATAAAATGAATCCAATCAATAAATTATAGTTCATTTTTGACCAATAACAAAAAAATTATATTTTAAACCATAAGTCAACATAATTTTTCATTTCATTTCAATAATCTCTAGTGAGTATTCATTATAAAACTCAGGTGCATATCCTTCCAAACTAAATATCATTCTTGATTTAGAGGAATTTTCAGCATGATCCTTATTCTTAGAATTTATGTATGAGAAATAATTTAGTTAAAACAGTGATATTGCAAGACTGAATCAAATACAATGCTGAGATTTCCTTCACTGATGGTGGTGACTATGGATTAAAGAAATTTAACTTAAGGTTCCCTTATCAAGAAAAATGGAATCATTATCATTGTTAGTGCCTGTTATTCCTTATTGTAAGTGATATTACAGATAAGAATCAAAGAAATTAAAGACTATGTGCTTAATTTGTAACTAATATGATATGCATGAAAATAAAGTAATTAAGAGAGAGAGAGAGAGAGAGAGAGAGAGAGAGAGAGATGTTTCTCCAATCAAAATATATTATTATTATTTAAAAAAAAATTAAAATACAATTATTTTATTAAATGATATACATGATGGTTGACTCAAATTTGAGATAAATCATTTATACAATAATATACTAATTAACCCCTAATGTTTCATTAGAAATAATTATATTGTTAACTTATAATCATTTATGAATATAGGATTAAAAGGATAGTTTAAAAATTTCAGATGGATTTATTTATGCTGTAAGAAGAAGAAAATTGGTAAAATAGAACACCCTAATAATTTCTTTTTTATTGTTAGCAAATATAAGAGAAAGAAATAATGCCAACAGAGTATTATTAATTACATAGATCAGTGGGTCTTCTGAGCCCGAAAAATACTTTCCTTACCCAGTCCTTATATAGCCATATATGTACCTTGCTTTGGCTGTCGTGGCAGCAGTTGGGCTCCACATATTTTATCCAATCCTGAGCCAGGTAGCCAAAGAAGTAATTTGTAAAAAGCAAAAGATAAATTAGATGATGCGCAGCTCTTTCCATTTCGGAGGGTTCGTCGGGAGAAATCCAGAGCTAGGGTTTACTACGCCCCTTCTGAGGCACGCAACGGGCGGCGCGTCGATCGGAGGACGACGACGATGGGAGGGAAGAAGGGAGGATCGGATGGGTTGGGGCGCGCTCTGATCAAGCAGCACAACCAGATGGTGCGGCAGTCCAAGGAGAAGGGCCGTGCCCTCCGCCTCGAGCAGCGGCGCGTGCTCGAGTCCGTCACCGAGGTCAGCGACATCGACTCGATCCTCGAGAAGGCTGCGGAGGCCGATCGCGTCTACTCTTTCGACAATCCCTCACCTCATGTCCTCATCAATCTGTACGTCTTCCTTCTCTCTCTGCCTTCTTAATTGATCAGTTAAGAAATCGTTGCTGTTTCTGGGAGATAGAGGAGGTTAGAAATCTAATTTCATTCGTGTCGATTGACGCATCTCCTGATATCAATTAGCTCATCCTTGTGATGCTTAATTCTTTTTTTTTTTTTTTGTTGTAAATGCTGTGTCCAACGTTTAGGGACAGGGACGCAAGTTCGGACACGGATGGAATGCCAGTAGAGGAGAGGCGCAAGCTGCAGAAACAGGAGGAGGCTCTGCATGCCAGCAGTCTCCGGGTTCCCCGCAGGTACAGTTGTATGACAGTTGATTTCCTATATGTGATGTTTATTTGAGCTATATGCATGCTATTGTGGTTTAGCTACTGATATGCTGTTTCAATGATGGGATGCAGGCCTCCTTGGAATGCTCAGATGTCAGTGGAAGAACTTGATTCCAATGAAAATCAGGCCTTTCTAGAGTGGCGGAGGAATCTTGCAAGGTCAGCAATAATGATTTTAGGATCATGAACACATTATAAATGTATTTAAAAAGTTCATCTATTATGTGATTTTAGAAAAAAAACATCAGTTTTTTAACCCATTTCAATATGCTGCTTTTAGTTTATCTTCTGGTGCAATTCTAGTAGGAATTTCATGTAGTTGGTCATACAACTGCCTGCCTATAGGAGTTTGGGGCCATGGCATCTGGTCATTGACCCAATTATTGTCCATCTTTGGACTGGCTTCCTTGCAATTGAATGTAGTTGATTCCTCAAACTCAACCCAAAAGACGTGGTTGATTAGAGAATCATGGGAGATCACCGAGGGTCCAAAGGGAATGGAGAACAGGGTGCAAATTATATCTTTTGAAAAGAGCCATCTTTGTTGTTTTGCTTTCTTATATGGGTTTAATCTTCCCTACACAGAGGAACAGAGAGTGTGTCTTCCATAGTTATTGACCATTTTTTCTTTATTAACATAATTAAGAAATGGTGGCACCTGAAACATGATTGACCACCTCCTTTCTCTTTTGATCCAATCAGGAATCATTTGTTAGGTCTTAACTCTTAACTCAGTGTTTAACTCATCATAAAGCTCAATGCATTACTCCAATATTTGATAATTAATTATATAAGGCCAGCCTGTTCACTTTCAGTTAAAAAATCATGTGCAGCACATGTGATACTTGTGAAGAATTTCAATGAAAAAACCTCTTCCAAATGATGGTTTTCTAGGGTTAACAAGGGGTTTATGTATTATCTTGTATAATTGGAAGGACAAATTGGTTAGTCACACTACTTCACTAGTGGGTTTTTTCACTAGATTAATGTCTAATAAGTATAATAAGAAAGGTAGATTGATATCTGATCTACCTTGCAGTTAGTAATTAGCTAAAAGCTTGCATCATGCTGTGTAAATGATTCAATAACTCTCCTCTAAAGTGATGCCTGGACTTAACTAATAGTTTCCAGAACCTGAGGGGTTAAGAGGGGGACCATAATGATTTCAGCTGAACAAGGGACATAGATTACCAGTTGATTTTAATTTAAATTATGATATATCTGTTGGGTTGTTGCAAATAGTGTTTCTTTAGGTTTTAACAGGACACAAAGGTCTAGTTTACCTCTTTTATGTTATCTTCTGCTTCTTTGAACTGCAGATGTAATTACTGGTTTGATTTCTTCAGGATTATCTTCATCTGGTTTTCAATTATCAGATTCCCAAGTCACATCCAGCATATTTGACATTGGAAATCAGTGTTATATCTTCTTGTTACTATTAGCAACATAATTATGTTTTTATAAGATATAAGTATTAGATAAACATAATTAGGCTTCCACTCCTTTGGGCTAGTTATGTTTTTTTTTTTTTTTTTATCAAATAGATTTGATGCTCTTTGGTTAATTTCATTTCACTTCGAAGTAGTGGCTTGTTATCGCCTTTCATGAACTGTTTAGTTTTATTGTTAGTTCATTTTGGCTGCCTGATTGTACCCCATCCTGTAGTTGATTGGGGTTTTGTTTTCCTTCTATTTATTCATGTATGAAATGAGTCAGTTGGAGAGTTGTTTTCTTAAGCTACCTCTCGTGTCGAACTGCTAAAGTTTGGTTCATTTCTTAGTTACTGACCTTGAGTTATGTTTGCTTTTATCTACTTGCCTTTACAATCTCAAATTTTGCTCATTTTTCTAGACTAGAGGAGAATGATAAACTTGTACTTACTCCTTTCGAGAAAAACCTGGACATCTGGAGACAGCTTTGGAGAGTGCTTGAAAGAAGTGACCTAGTAAAGTTTTCTCACCTAAACTGGGATTTGAGAAATTATAGTTGAATTCTTAGTTTCTCTATGTTGCTCAATGCGAATCCTTATTGGAGTTTCTTATTTGTTTGGCAAGTTGTTTCTCTAGTTCAGTTGTTCTGGTTTGCATGACATATCAACTATGTGATAGTTAAAAAAAAGAAAAAGAAAAACTATGTGATAGTAGTTTCGTTAGTTAACATAATGATGATTCACTGACTCCTTTCATTTGGGAGGATAACTTATATAGAGCTACTAAGTTTATAACTACTAACCTCTTCTTTTCTTATTTCAGATGTTACATTACCTTTATATGTCATTTTAGTTTGATTGTTAGATTGATTTCTTGGTATACATTTCTTTTGGCATCTATTGTAGACAAAATCAAGTAGATTGAGTTGTGCCCAAAGTTTCAACTGCTGGTTGAACTTGGTACAAATCTACTGGTAGACCATATATCTCAGTATCAACTAACTATTTACTTTTAGTTATTATTTTTTAGCGATACCGAATGGTACAGGTTAGTATGTCAGTATCGTACTAATCTGACAAGGTGTTAAAAGTAGCATCTGAGCAAGAATTAAAACCTTGGTTATGCTTATGCTAAGTTTGATCGATCCCATATCAAGTTTATTTTCTCTTTTCTTTTTTCCTATCATCCTGTGTATATATATTTTTGAATGGTTATTATTTCATGTATTGCTTATTGTTTCTTTCTAGAATGAGTTATGTGTCTACAATTGACCTTCTAAAATATGTTCTCATTGGTTTGAAGAATTGGATCCGTTT